GATAAACAACATGGCCGACAGGCAGCCATCTTGGATTTTGATAGTGAAAGTTTGTTATCGCTACTTCTCAAGAAGTACCAGAGGAATCTTTCTCAAATTTTATATGTAGGTTCCCCTTGGTCCTTAGTTGTGCAGGGCAACCTTTGAGACTGAACGGATAAACAACACAGCCGACAGGCAGCCATCTTGGATTTTGATAATGTAGGTTTGTTACCACTATTTCCCCGGAAGAACTAGAGGGATCTCTCTTAAATTTTATATGTAGGTTCCCCTTGGTCCTAGCTGTGCACGGCAATTTTAGAGACTGATCGGATAAACAACATGTCCGACAGGCAGCCATTTTGGATTTTGATAGTGAAAGTTTGTTATCGCTATTTCTCGGGAAGTACCAGAGGGATCTTTCTCAAATTTTATATTAGGTTCCCCTTGATCTCTCGTTGTGCATGTTATATTTTGAGACTGATCATAAAAACAAAATGGATTAAAAGAAGAACTAAACAGATCTTTCTCATGTTGCAATGATTGATTCTATTTCTTTCACATTAAGTACTGTACTAGTAAATATGTGAAATGACAAACTCACTTTTAAGGTTGGCTTTCATACACATCAGTATGAAGTTAAGATTAAAAGTTACCTCCAGGTGCATGTACTGTGAACATGACTCGATCAAACAGATTAGAGGAAAATTTTGAAAAATACTTCTACAGGTCGATGTAGAATACCATTGCTATGAATTTGATGCTCTAGTTTTTCTGGAACATTTAATGTTGTACGCCATTTTGAATATTTTCTTTTGATCTTTTGAAAATATCGCAATATTTTAAAACTTGTTTTACTCCAATATCAATGACAAATATTTGGTTTATTTGTTATGAAAAAGGTTTCCCCAGATGTCCTCTAACATTTAAAGAAAAAATCAACTTCATTGAAAAAACAAAATGGCCACCATGACGTCATACCTCAAAATCTTAAAATGGCTATAACTCAAACGCGGTTGAATTTACAGCCTTTAAGCACATCATTTGTAGATAAAGATCAGGGCTAACTTTTTCCTTTGTATATTATTTCTTAAAAGGTCAAATGAAAAAGTTCGCT